GGCCTAGACCCTTCTTCAGAAGAAGGGTCTAGGCCCAAAACATCAGCCTTCCTGCTCCTCTGATGCTGCTTGGCCTGCTGTGTTCATCCAGCTCTACACCTTGTTATCACTGTTCCCTCAAGGTCCACTGCTTTTCTTGATCTATATTAATGATATTAAAATTGTGTCTTTGCACATCCATCTCAAGCTATGCAGATGACAAAACTTAAGAAATTTTGTGAATTCCATGGGCGATCACGTTAGACTTCAAAGGACAGTGACAGGCAGGTGAATAGACAGACACATGGAAGAAAAAATTCAATGTTGAGAATTGTAAAATGATACATTTTAGCAAAATGAATGAGGAAAGGCAATATAAACTAAAGCATACAATTCTAAAGACGGCGCAGGAGCAGAGGATCTCAGAGTTAGATGTCCAAAAATAAAGGAAGGTGACAGGGCAGTTTGAGGAACCAATTAACTATTCACCATGGATTCTGGGCTTAATAAATAAAGGCTTGTGGTTAATGGGCCAGCCTCAATTTAAGTATTATGTCTAATTCTGAGCATATTAGACACAAAGGCAATGGACAGGGCACAGAAAAGATTCATGAGAATGGTTCTTGGGATGATGGATGTCAGTTATTTGGACAGATTGAAGAAGTTGGGGGTGTTCTCCTTAGAACAGATTAAAATGTGCCTTGATAGAGACATTCAAAATCATGAGGGGTCTGGACAGAGATAAAGTGAACTGTTTTAAATTGTAGGACAAAAGTACAATGATTTAGAATGACTGGCAAAAGAACAAAAGGCAGCATGATGAAAAACTTCTTGCATTGTAGTAAACGGTTAAAATCTGGAACGCACTGCCTGATATTTTATTGGAGATGATTCAAACATGGTTTTCGAATTGGAATTGTTTAATTGTCTGAAGTGAAAAGAGTCGTAGAGGTAAAAACAGGGAAATGGGAATAGTTGAGCTGCTCTTTCAGAGGTTGTCAGCATGGACATTACAGGTCAATTGGGTCCATACTACGCTGTAACCATTCTACAATTCTAAGGATATCACTGTGAAGAACAGCTGACTTTACCAAAGTGATTCTAATCGCTTTATTGACGACCACAATCTAGGAATGGTCCACGACTGGAAAAGTATTCTACTATCCAGCTATGGTGCATATATCCATGTTTTTCAAATGGAAACCAAAAGAAAATGTAGGAATGTAGCCATCATTCAAGATTTCTTGCTGCCTCCCTGTTGATTAGCAAAAAAAAGTGTCCCACGTACTCAAACTGCTGAACTTACTGATTTCACAATCCATTGTTTCTAGTTTCTGCTTGCATGATGTCATTTCGTCTATCACTTCTACAATCCGGTTGTCCCGATCAGTAATTTTCTGGTTCAGTTCTTTCACAAGACGTTCATAGTCTGCAATCTCCATGTCCATCAGCGTGGTTTTTTGAGCATCCTAGTGCCACATTTAGAACAGTAACTATTTGATTTGAACTATGTCATTTCTACATTGCCTTTTTAAGATCTCAAACGAAGCATGTTGCACTGATAGTGATGTAAAACTGGATTTTTAGCACAAGTATGAAATAAAAGCCCACTAATAGGTCTCAGTGCATTATCTAGATGGACATTTTAGTGCAACCTATGGGAGTGCCATATTGCCAGAGGTGTCATTTGGTGCATGACGTATTAGATAGATGCGCTACTTACCTGTTTGAGCAGCTTAAAAGATCCAATTACAGTATTTGAAGAGCAATAGTCACTTATTGCCTTAGGATTACATGTCAGTCAATCAAAAGCACCAAAAAAGACAAATTAAAAAGATATTAGGTCTCAGTTTGTAGCATTCCTGCCTCCAAGTCAGAAGATTATGGACTCAAGTCTCATTTCAGTATGTGAGCACAAAATAAAATACCAGGGCTGACATTTCAGAGCTGTACCGAGGGAGCACTATTGGAGGGGCTGACTTTCAGATAAGACATTAAATCAAGGCCCCATCTGCCCTCTCACATAGGTGTAAAAGATCCCATGGAGGTATTTCAAAGAGGAGCAAGGAAGTTATGGCGGGAAGCCTGTCCATTATCTGTCCCTTGATCAACATCTCAAATAGATTGCCTGGTTATAGTGGGAGCTTATTCAATGAAAACTGACAAAGATTTTCTCTACAACAGTGTCTATACTACACAAGTACTTGACTGATGAAAACTGTGTTACACCCCTTGGTAATGGAAAGGATTATACAATTCCAAGTCTTCCTTTTCAGCTTAAATTATCTAATTTAACTGTCCACTTTCAAAAAAAAAATCCTTCAAAGAATGAGATTTATTGGCTGTGAGAACTCTTAGACATGAAGTGCATGATATTTGCCAGACACAGGGTTATGGGCTGCAGATAGAAGAGCGGAGCGGAGGCCATAATCAAAACAGCTGTGATTTTATTGAATTGTGGAGCAGGAGTGGCCAGTTTGGTCCTCAGTATAATCCTTCTAAAGAAGTTCACATTCTTTTTGAAAAATGTTCTCCGTTTACCACACAAGTTTATTTAGCACTTTTCTGCTGATATTTTTCTTTCAACACAATGTTCAGAATACACACAATAATACTGGTAATATTGATTTAAGAGTTTTTAAACCTATGAAAACCACAATGCTATTTATTTTGTCCACTTTGATTATACTCTTATGGCATACATGTTCGCATTAACTAATTGCAATTTGCGACCTGGAAGATCAAGGGCTTTAAGTTTCACCAGATGCAAACTTGGTTGTAGCTAGCAATTGGATTACTTTCAAGTATCTCTCAAGATCATCCTTTATGAGGAGACGCAAACTAGATATGGTTACAGGTCCGGTAGGTAGAGTGTCAAACATCAATCAAGCTGTATCTCCTGTGGTTTAAATCAAATTTCTTTAACAATCACATCAGTCCTAGTCCTGGCTCACCACTCAGCCTCACACTTATTGGTGACTAGTATGGTAGAGATTAGGAGGCATGCACTTTGGTCATCATTGTTTGTTCTACATCTATTTATCACTTCTGGTTGTAATGACAGAAAAATTACAGAATTGTATGCTGTAAATCTATGTAAACAAAATACTGGAGGCACTCAGGTAGCAAGTATAGAGAAAGGAAATATGTTATTATGACTCAATTTACACACAGGTGTATATACATTACAACCATTGTTAACTTTTCCAGTTGTAAGTTTTGGGTGGCAACTCTATCTATGCATTTGCCCAGACATGTACAAAACTGTCTCTTAAGCACAGCAATTCAACTGCAGCTAAGCAAAGGCCAAATAATTGATGATTTGTCTATCCAACAAAAGCAACATATTTTGTACCTTTTGAAAGTTCTTACCTTTCTTACAAGTTCCAGTTCCTGTGTTGTCTGTTGTAGCTGTTGTTTCTCATTTTGAAGTTGTTTTTTAAGTTCTTCAACGTCTTTCAACAGTACATGATTCTCCTGAAGAATACAGTTTAATTCTTTACTTACTTATTCACAGGATGTGGGTTTTGCTGGTATTGCCTATCGCTAACAGCCCTTGAAATGTGGTGCTCAGCTGTCCACATATATGGTGTAGATAGTGTCATGGAGCACAGAACAGAATTTTCAGTCCAACACGTCCATGCCGTACTTGCATCTATCACTTCTTTCAGCAATTCATTCCACATACGAAACACACTGTGTGGAAAAAGTTGCTCCTCAGGTCCCCTTTAAATCTTTGTTCTCTCACCTTAAAATTATAACCTTTGGTATTGAACACCCCTCCAGTAGTGCCCCTCGTGATTTTATAAACCTCAGTAAGATCACCCCTCAACCTGTTAAGCTCCAGTGAACAAAGTCCCAGCCTATACAGTCTCTCTTTATAACTCAAACCTCCAATCCCAGCAACATTCTGGTAAATCTTTTGAGCCCTCTTCAATTTAATAATATCTTTCCTATAGCAGGGTGATGAGAACTGCACACAGTACGCCAAAAGTGGCCTCACCCACATCCTGTACAACTGCAACATGGAGCCCCAACTCCTACAGTCAATGGTCTGAGCAAAGAAGACAAGTGCGCTAAATGCCTTCTTAACCACCCTGTCTACCTGTCACATATTTTAATATATAAATACGTTTTTTAAAAAAGTAAATACTGGAGAAAACATGAGAAATTTCAGAAAATTAATTTAAAAACATAGCACCCGTCTACATGATGACTCCATTACCTTGGAAACCTGCTCCTTGAAAAGTTTTAAGGCCTCAAACTCCTTTTCAACAGTATTCTTGGCTTTCTCAGATTCTAAAACTTTTGCTTCCAGCTGTTTTACATTTGACTGCAGAGTTCCCAAATGAGCAAACATATCTTCCTTCTCTGAAACCAATTGTTTGTGCTGAATGGAAAACATTAGAAATATAGCTATAGATCAATTCAGAAAAGTTATAGGAGCTTATTTTTCCACTTAACAGCCAAAATATCTAATTCAAGCAGCATTTTATACATTGAATTAAAGAAAGAAGTCTTAAATCAATCAACTTAATCTTTTAATGCTGTCTAATGCAGCTATTATTGCAAAGAAACTCAATTTGTCCAGACTTTTTGTTTTAAATGAACAGAAATGTAAAAAGAAATCTGTATATTCTACAAAGAATGCAGGTGAGGTAGTTTGATGGGTCATTTGGAAGGATTGAATTGTGTCAGTGCTCTTTCTGATCTGGAATGATTTTGAGTTGCATTACATAGTTTCAAACATCAGTCAAGAAAGGCTGTACAATGTTTTCTTTCTGTTACCCACAAAGTAGTACTAAAGAATCCAGACCATTTATCTAGTTTACTCAATCTACTGATATTTCTTGCAGTAACAGAGGATATTGTTTAAACAAGGATGAAAGATAATTTGTTGCATGGCAAGATACTTTTTGTTTGGCAAAGTCGCGTTGAAAATCCTAATAATGGACAATATTTTCCTCCAATATGCTGTAATCCCAGAAAAACATTGTCTCTCTCATCATTTCAAATATTTATAAATTATTGCAACTTAACATTAAAAATTGGAAGAAATTAACTATTGTGACCGATGCTTGACTTACTGTTTTCCAAGCAGCATTAAACCTTTTGAAATTGTAATTACATGGCATATACTCACAACCGAAGCATGCATGGATTTTAAGAAGAAAAGAGGGATCCTTTTCACCGCACAAGCCTCATCTCTCAGGTTTAGGGAGGCGGCTCTGCACAACCTTCTACCAATGCACAAGAGAAACAAAACACTGAACTGCCCACCTTCCTAAAGTTTGGAGGTCATATAATCTAGCTCTTCAGAAGCTCATTCCAGAAAGATCACTTTGTCCACCTTAATTCAGCCTTCCTGAAAGGACATGAAACCATCTTATCTGCATAGGTAGCAGAGTAAGCTGATAATTTTTATTTCAACTTACTCAAAAATAAAAACAAAATTTATCTACAAACAACAGTAAGACTTTGACTTTCAACCTTCATTTCACTCTATGAAGTTTAAGCAACAATAAGATTCCCACCTTCTTAAGCAAAAAACACAAAGAACTTGGAACTGGCAAAAGCTGTACAGTCTATTCCTGATATTAAGATGGAATTATATAATAAATTTTAACATGCTATTATTCACACATTAATTACAGGTTACACAGGTTCAGGAGACAACATCTGTTGGTGTTGCAACATTTGTTTATATATATTTTGAAAGAAACAACTCCAAGTCATCTGTAAAGAGTAACATGAAATGGCATATTCACTTAAAATGGGAATCATTTTGAGGTTCCACAAAACACTTTTCTTTCCATGAGTACAAGCAATCAATGTTAAAAATCACTGCACTGTCTCATGGAGAGAAGTAACATTTTTTGTATGTGTGTTATTTGAAAATGGTAGGGTGTAATCAGAGAATTTCTGATTGAATGAATCAAAATGAACTTAAAGTAACTCTTACTTTTTCCACAACGAGTTTGAATGCACCCAAATATGTTGCTATTTATACATACTACACTTACAGCTGCTACCTGTTTTTAAAATGCTGAACAATATTAACTCCCAACAGATTACTTTGAAGTGAAACCATGAAACAATTATATAAAGCAGAAAATCTATAAAAATGAACTTACTAAAATTTCCATTTGTAAAGATTTGTTTACTAGTCCACAGCATTGAATTGTTTTGTTTCTCTGAATGTATCACTGCCACCATACATGTGGTCTTAGCTACAAGGATTCCTGGTTACAATCCCTCTAGTGTGACTTTTACTCTTTCCATAGCAATGAGACCATCATGGACCAAGTTAGCAGTGAGATCTTTTGCGATTCCAATCATGACACTGTAACCCTACATCCCCTCTCTCCAAAAACAGGCATGGGTGACCATGAATTCTGCCTCCAAGATTGATCCACCATTCAATAAAATCATGATTGATGTGATTTTATCTACATCTACATTCCTGCATATGCCTAATACTCTTTCATCACCTTAGTAATCAAGAATCCATCTGCCTTCTGTATAACTGAAGCTTAACCTCTCTACTTGGCATTCAATTTCCTGTGTAATAAAGCATTGCACTGTATTAGCTTTTCTGATTACTTGTTGTACCTGCATTCTAACCTTCTATAATTCATGCACTGGGACACCCAGATCTCTCTGCATCCTATCACCATTTAGATAATGTGCAGCTTATTTATTTTTTCTGTCAAATTGGACAATTTCATATTTTCCACATTATATTCCATTTTCCAGATCTTGCTCAATCACTTCCCCTATCTATATCTCTTTGTAGGCTTCTTATACCCTCTTCACAATTCAGTTTCCTACTTATCTTTGCATCATCAACAAAATTTTATTGCCATACCTCCAATCCCTTCATCCAAACTGTAAACGGTTGAGGCCCCAACATCAACCTTTATGGTACACTATTCATGACAACCTGCCAACCTGTAAAAGATCCATTTACTCCTACTCTGTTTCCTGTTAACCAACCATTTTTCTATCCGTGCCAATGTGTCAGCCACAACACCATGAGATTTTATTTTCCGTAATAATATGGCACTTTATCAAATGCCATCTGGAAATCGAAGTACAATACATCTACCGGCTCCCCTTTATCCTCAGCACAAGTTACTTCTTCAAAGAACTCCAAGTAAATTAGTTAAACATGATTTACCTTCGACCAAACCATGTTGGGCCTGCCTGATTATCTTGAATTTTTCCAAATCCCTGGTTATAACATCTTTAAGAATTGCTTTTAACATTTTCTCTTTGACAGGAGCTAATCTGTAGTTTTCAGATTCATGCCTCCTTCACTTTTTGAATAAAAATTTACATTAGATATTTTTCAATCTAAAGGAATCTCCCCTGAAATAATAAATACTAGAAAATTAAAACCAATGCATCAACTAGCTGACTTGCTACTTCTTTTAAGCTCGTAGGATGAAATCCGTCAGGACCATGGACTTGTCAAATTGCAGTTCCAAAATTTACCCGGGTGGTATTACTTCTGGAGTTCCTCCCTCCCTTTCAACTCCCAGGATGTTACTTGTACCTTCTCTAGTGAAGACAGAGGCAAAGCATCTGTTCCATTCATACATCTCTTTAACCTTCATTACTAATTGCACACACTATTTTCCATAGGATCTTCTGACCTGCCACCCAACTTTGTGCAATTGTATATCTTTGCTTGATTTTGATCCTATCTTTGCTTGATTTTGATCCTATCTTTTCCTTTTTTAATTAACCACGGATAGTGTGTTCACCACCTATAATTTTTCTTACACGTTGGAATGTACCTATTCTGCCCTTTCTGGAACATCCCCTTAAATATTTGCCACTACAACTCTAGTGACCTTTTCCTTTACCTATATAGCCAGCTCATTTTCACTAGGTCTGCTTTCATGCCCTCATAACTGCCCTGGTTTAAATTCAAGTAGCAGCTTTGGGCCTACATTTCTCTACTTTAAATTGTATTGAAAACTCAATCATATTTGGGTCACTGCTACCCAGGGGTCCTTTCACAGAGGTCAGTAATTAATCTTGTTGGTCAAAACCAGGTTTACTACAGCCTGCTCTCTGGTTGGTGAGAAAACATGCTGGCCTAAGAAACTGTCCTGCAAACATCCATGAATTCCTCATCTCATTAACTTTCTCCCCTATCTGATTTTTCCAGTCTGTATTTAGGTTAAAATCCCACATGGCAATTGCTGTACCCTTTTCACCAGCTCCCATTATTCCTTCCTTGATACTTGTCCTACAATGTGCTTACTGTTAAGGTGCCTCTACACAACTTCTACAAGTAACCTGTGTTAATAATTCCTCATCTCTAACCAGAATACTTCTAACCCCAGTTTCCCGAACTTAGTGTTAGCATAATACAGAGGGATGACCTATCTTTAATTGAACAGAGCCACTCTTCCATACCCTTTGCTAGTTTCCTATCCTTCCTGCCACATACTCTTCAGATCCCAATCCAGATGACCCCACAGCCACATCTCAGAAATGGCTACTAGACTGTACTTATTTGTGTCAATTTGTACTACTCATCTATCTGTTTTGTCTTGAATGTTATGTGCATTCAAATACAGTGCATTAAGTTTTGTTATTTTTAAGAAAGTACTTTTGTAATCACTCGTCTTATCTGCTGATTTGCTCTCAAATCTGTATTTTCTGTCCCTTCTGCAATTGTCTGTCTTTCCTCCTATGATGTACCTTGCAGCAATGCCATTCAGGTTTTGTTCCCACATCTTGCAACTTTGATCAACATATCTCCATGTCGGCACATGCCCTCAAACAATTCGAGTATTCCAAAGTTCCACCCTCTCACCCTCTTTTACCACAACTGTCCTTGAGCAAATACATCCATTGGGATTTTGTTGAAATCTACATTTTGCTATTAATACCAAACTTGAAATCCCCATACACCTCTTGATCCAGTGACTGTTTTGGTGTTGTCAGGTTATGTATCTGAATTAATTCACGAACAATTATAAATTTGAGAAAACCAAAGCCATTTTGTTGATTTCCTTTGAAGGACTTCGAGCTCTGCAGCACAGAAAAAAGATCATTGTTTCTGACTGGCACAGGTTCTATCACCTCAGAATTCTAACCCCATTTTCTGGCATTTGGTCTATAGGTTTCTATGCCTCGGCATCACAGGTGAACATCTAAATACTTCTTAAATGTTGAAAGTTTCTGCTTCTACCACCCTTACAGGCACAGAGTTCCAGATTCCAACCTCCCTCAAATGAAAAAAAGAATTTCCTCACATCCGTTCTAAACATTCTGCCTCATATCTTAAATATATGCTCCCTGCCCATTGACCCCGCTGCCAAGGGGAAAATGTTTCTTCCTATCTACCCTGTCTATGCCCTTTCTAATGTTATATATCTCAATCAAGTGCCCCCTTCAGGCTCCTCTGCTCCAAAGAAAACAACCCCAGTCTGTCCAATCCTTTTTCACAGTTAAAACACACTAGCGTAGGCAACATCCTGGTAAATCTCCTCTGCACCGTCTCCAATGCAATCACGTCCCTCAATTGTGTGGGCTCCAGAACTGCACACAATACTCTAGCTGTGGCCTAACAAACCTTTTATACACTTCCAACATAACCTCCATGCTCTTAAACCTTATGCCTCAGCTAATAAAGCCCAGTATCCCATATGCCTTCTTAATTGTGTTATCTGTCTTACCTGCTACCTTAAGGGACCAGTGGATCCTTGGTGCTTCCCAAGGTCCTATGTTCATCGTGTATTTCTTCAGACAGAGTGGAGGTGCTCCTCAAAGAGTTCACCCAGACTGTGTTTGGCCTTGCCATTGTTTTGGAAAATGTATTACAAGCAGTGAATACAGTAGACTAGATTGAAAAAAAGTACAAAATGAAATGCTGCAACACCTGGAAGGTGTAGTTGGGGCCTTAGACAGTGAAGAAGGAGGTGGTGAATGGGCAAGTGTTACACCTTCTGTGATTGCATGAGAAGTGCCACGGGGAACAATGAAATGTTAGGAGTGGACCAGGATGTTTCAGAAGGAATAGTCCCTGTGGAAGCTTTAGAGTGTAGAGGAGGGAAACGTGTTTGGGGTTGGCATTGTGTTGGAGGTGGCTGAAACGGCAGAGACTGGGTGACCACTTTGTGGAACACCTCCATTCCATCCATAGGAACGGCCCTTACAATTGCTTCAAATTGCTTAGGCTACCTTTCATGAAGGCCATTTATTTTCATTAATGCACAATATACTGCAACTGTTCTTACCTCAACTGATTGCCACTGAAACTCTAATCCAAGCTTTTCAATATATACAGAATTAATTTCTCCAAGCCTCCTCACCACATTGGCCTGCCAAGATGCAACTTCCAGAACCCATCAAAAACTTCCCTGGTCATCGTGGACATAGTTACAAACATAAAACAAAATCTCAAATGTTAAACAAGCTTTTGGACACCTTTCTTAACTCATATTGCTATGCTCCCTCTGGTTTAATTTTCATTGTTGTCTATGTTAAAGAGTTATTGAAATGCACACTATTGGCATTGTCACCAAATCTCAACATGGCCCTATTACAAGATTTTCACAGCAGCTCCTTAAAGTTAGCAACTATGCAGTTTAAATAAATGAAGATGCATTGTGAATAGATGAAACAATATTATTCAATTGGCAGCAGCACAGGAAGGTAGCTTGGTACCTGTTGAAGACAAGCATGCAAGTGTTGTGTAAGCTCCTCCACCTGACGTTCAGAGTTATTTGCTCGCGTCTTTTCCATATCTAGTTTTTCTCCTTGTTTCTCATACTCTAGCAAAAGGTTCTAAACCAAAGAAACAGAATCTTAAATAAATTATAACATTGGAAGAAATTAAACAGTTATCCTGTTTCATAAACATTTTTTTTATATAACTTGTCTGCCATTTTATACAACTAATTGCACAATAAGCTTTGCTACCAAGTTGTTCAGTCATACAGATGAGACAGAGTGAAGGCGGTTTCCAGTTGGAACAGTGGTAAGAACTTCTCAGGGCCCTGAAGTGGGAAAGCAAATACAATCAGGGGAAAAAATAAACAGGCATTCATTCCAACCTTATTTCCTATTTAATTGGACTTGCATGTGTAGATGTTGGATGAGGACAGAATTTGCTTGGAAGTTACTGCCTTCACATAAGCTGCCATTCAAGGTTTAGACACAATTAACGACTGTACAGGTGAGGTACTAGAGACTAACTGCCACAGTGGGACCATAGCTCAGTGAGAAGCCAGTACTATTGAGGAAATTGGGGAAGCAAGTGAAAAAGGGATAGGAAAATTACAAGTGCTGTTTCTTCTAAATAGACAAGGTGCCTTTATCAGCAACACAAAGCTGAACAAATGACCATTTGTATTAGCTTTTGCAAACCCAATCATCAACCTTCAATACAATTCAGGGTAAAATTGAAATCACAAGATTTTTTTGGAAACAATATAAATATGCTCAATTGACTGAGCTGAACGAAGCATCTTGAAGTGGTGATTAACTTTATGCCCAGTGAGTCTTCCACATTGCTCAAATGAAGATGATGTTTACTTATTTAACAAATATACCTACAGTTTAAAAAAAAATTAAACTAGCCATTATAAGATTAAGATTTTCAAAATCACTGTATAGACAGTGAATAACAGCTATCCGACAATGATTACAAGTGTAAATTTCATGAAGTGGGGGGGGATGTCAAATCACCGTCATCATCTGAGAGATAATAACTGATGTGGGTTCCAACTATGATCTGAATCTTGAAGAAGAAACTACCTGTATTAACTATCACAATGGAATCCGCAGGAACTTTTTCTATTTCACATACACAAGGGGTCACGGGATAATTAAAAAGGGAACGTGAAGTCGATTTTCACTATTACATGATTTATCTAGATTAAAAAGCAATAGCAGCAGTCCTCTCAGATATCTCCTCAGCCCAACTACTACCTGTTCTTTCTCTTTTTCAGTAAATTCATAACCACCTCTAGAGTATTACTTATTGATTTCCTTCAGCTTGCATAAATGCATCACATGCTTCACAGAATGGGAATTTTAAAGAGCACTTTCTGGCAAGTAAAATGTATGGCTTTCTATTACCTACTCTGAATATTATTTTCACAAAAAGGGAACATATAGATAGGTCATACTTTTGCTGACATTGTCATTTTCCATCCCACAATTTTATTTAATTATGTACCTTGTAGCTTTCTGCACCTTGCATAATGTCTTTCACAGAAGAAGACAATCTGTCTCGTTCAGACTTTATAATCTCCATCTCTTCTGTTAACTGTAGCACCTAAATGAAAATACATATCTCTTATGTAAAGAAAATAAATGTACTGGCACTATTTTTAAATGGAAACAGAAAACTTTCACTGGATACCTTACCTGTTTTTTGCTGGCATCGAGTTCTTTTTTAGCTTTCACTGCTACAGCTTTAATCTTGTTTATTCTGTTTTCCTTATCATTGCTTACTTTTTCTAGAGCAACTGTTTAAAATTAAAACATTACAAATAAGCCAACCACCAATTTTTCTTTGCATTCTGTGTTTAAAACATTTTTCTTTGAATATTACTGCCATGGGGTTTCTCAAATTAAAGTAAACCTTGGTAGTGTCCAAGAGTTTCTACTTTGGTTTCTACTTCACAGTAGTCATAAACAGGCATTGCAAAAAAAAAGAGTGCAAAGCTAGATGTTTGGTACAGGTTGGAATTCAGTGCAATAGGGGAAAATATCACAATGCAAATATTAGAGATAAAAAGTAAATTTGATGAAGTGAGTATGTAAGGTTTTTGGCCAGAGTTTTAACACTTGGTGGAATTAAGTGCATAGTTTAAGAAAACTTAACACATAATAAACAAATGTAGACTACATCACAAAGCAGGTTGCATGTTCGAGACTGTGGCATGAGGGAGTTTGTGAACAATGAAACTGCTTGAATAAATATGTCCACAGTGAAGTCTCCATCTCAAATCTCTAGCACAGAAAAATGGAGTTAAAATACATGCCCATAGATGAGGGGTTTGTCTTATGAAGAGTGCAATTTAGGCCCATACTCTCTCGAGTTTAGAAGAGTGAGAGGATTAACAAAGTAGATGTAAAGAGGATGTTTCCTTTTGTGGGCCAATTTAGAATGAGAGGTCATAGCTTTAGGATAAGGGCTAGCAGATTTAAAAATAGAAATGAGGAGAAATCACTTCTCTCAAAGGGCTGTGAATCTGTGGAATTCATGACCGCAGACATCAAGTAAATTTGAGGAGATAGACAGTTTGCTGAAGGGTTATGGGGAGTTGGCAGTACAGTGGAGTTGAGGCCAAGATAAGATCAGCCATGAGTGTATTGAATGAGGGTCTGAGGCTTGAGGGTCTGAATTGCGATTATGTGCTTATGTTGAGGAAAGGTTGTCACAACGGTTGGGAACAAACGTCCAAACAGCTGCTCACAACTTGTAAAGAGGTGCAGGTTCATAATGAGGTTGGCTATGATCTATATTGTATATAGCAGAGGTGAGTTAAAGAAATGGGTTGTGAAAAACTGATCTAATCAAAAAGGTACACTATATTTTCTACCTGAGGGGATAAGGGCGAAGACTGTAGAAAACACAACCAGAATAGGTTGAATAGGTCAACGACGACATTGAAATGGTTACTAACTATTGTATCTAAATGTCAAAGTAGATGATAAATTACATTGGAGGGAAGAAAATATAGATGCAGTGACCAAAGGACATACATGTAATTCTACTTCAGAACATTAAAATGCTTTCCAACAGATTCTACAGTCAGAAAGCTCTTGTACTTAGTCATCCTTTTGGGGGATTTGCTAAGAACTGCTGTCTTAGGAAGCAGCTTCTAAGCATCTTCAGGTTACTGAACCAGACCAAAGGAATAGTTAATGAGCAGATCTTTCTTGAAGAAATCTGGACCTAAAGAATCTTGATGAAAACAAGAAAGCCAAAGTGTCTCGAGATGTGAATCACTTCTCATCTCAGTATTATTGTGGGATGCATTCAGGGTAAAGGCTACTGTCCCTCAGATGCAACATGAATTGGTTCCTGAACTTATTTGTGTCATTCTTTATAAGAAGTTGTAATAGCAGTTTGATGTATGGATGAAGGTAGGCACTCAGGGTGGTACTCAGTGCTGATAACGTAAATGCCTTGGAATAGTTTTTGTTATGTTTTACATTGAAATTAAATCTCACTTCAACAGATTTCAGCCAAATTACACCAAAGATCAAGTAAATTCCAGTGGAAATTACTGCTCAAATTTAAACTTAGTAAAACCATAATACTACAGTCATATCAACAGAACAATCACAAAAATAACGTGCAAGCCTCATGAATGATACTGCAACTCTATTTTTAAAATTTAGGATACAATCCAGGGACTAGATGTAAGTTATCAAATTTCCTTTTATATATTCAGAATGGCACAAATTTGTAAAAGCAAAGAGGGCAATCAGTAGAGCACTTATCCTGCCAGACTTATTATCATAATAATGCAGCTATTTCTTGAGGATTTTCCCTGCCTGGTTGATGCTTTTTAACTACAAAGTACAAAAAAATTCTCATTAAGAGTTTCTGTCTCACAGGATGATTCAGGCTAATCTACATCCATCAACCTGCTCAGAAAACTCATGTTTTAACAGCTGTGGCAAACTGCACCATGTAGCCAAGATAATCTACAACAATAAGGAACACACATTTTCTTCCTACCCACTGCACACCCCCCGCCATCAAAATAGTCAACTTACCCTCTGTTCAAGGTATTAAAGGATTCTTTACAAAAATCCAGAATCAGCATCTTCTTTGGGCTACTTTTTGACTAAAATTTGTCCAGTTTGAAAGAGAAGGATGAAAAACATTAACTACTTCCTCAGTAAGAGTGGTAGGGTGGGGGGTGCGGTGGGGGGGGGGGGGGGGGGGGGTGGGTGGGGGGTGGTGGGGAGTGGTGGTGGAGAGGGTGGTATTAAAGAACCAAAATTGGAGGATTGCTAACATTATGCAGGGTTGGAATAAATGCAGAAATGGGGGTAAGACAGGAAATGGAGGAATGTGACACCAAAGATGAGAAATTTTGAAGCAGACATTGTTTAACTGGGAATCTGTTTTGGTCAGCAATCACAGGGTAAATGGATGTACAGGATTTGTCACAATGAAGGACAAAAGGTAGTTCAAGATTGAGGTGAATAAAACTAGAAATCCAAAGTAACATCAGATGCAGGGAGTGAGTGCATAACAAAATACATCTTTTTCAATATGGCACGTGATGTCAACGAAGTGTCTGGCAGGACACCTGTATCAGTAATGGATCAAAGGTTTATACTGCAGAGTTTTACAACAGATCTAAGGCTGTTAGATTAGCTTTTGGTTTCAGTTCCAAAAGGTGAACAATTTTCTCCTGGCAAGAGAATGAAGATTTTCAGTTCATTTTAGGGGAAATCAGTCACCCTATCAGAAGTGTTTTTAGCTCATGGAGGTTCCAAGCCGAGAGAGTTCTTCAAGCTGTTAGAAACAAAAAGGCTTATGCCATCAGAATAGTGAAAAGCTCATATCATCAGACTCGGAAAGTAATCATAAACTGACACAGTAGTTCAAGGGAAAAAAAGCAGGATTACGTCAGTTAACTGAAAAATAAAACTCGTGAGTTAAGAGTGATATTTCTCTAGATTTGAGTATCTGTGGTGGGATAGCATTGAGAAACAGGTTGTTTATTTTGCTGTTTGTTTTAAGATTTTTCTGTTTCATAGATAGCTTTGCTTTGTTTCCGCTCCCCCCCCGACGCCCGAGTAATAAAAACTATGTTGTTAAAGATCAGCTACTACCTCATATCAGTATGCTTCAGTAACTAATCACCATGGTAATTAATTGCAAAAACTGAAGACATTATTTATCAAGCCAGGTTTTATTCCAGTCTTACCACCAGCTAGGATTTTAATACCTATTTTCATTGTTTTCAGGACCAGCTTTTCCAGGGAATAAAAAATATCAAAAGCCTCAATAAAACTCAAGCATATCTATTCTCATCAAGCTAGAGCACATTTTGCCCAGAAAAAACGAGAAGAAATCTAACATAGCGCACTCATCATCAACAAATTAGTGTAAGGTACTGCTGAAGTACTGTATTATCCAGCGCATTTACTAATTACCTGCTCTATTACAGTTTGCATTTTGCTCATCACTCACTTCCAAACCTCATTACCGCTTTGATTAAACAAGGAAAAAGGAGCTGAATTCTGGAGGTGAGGCAAGAACACCCATCCTTTTAATTAAGACAACATTTAACCAATTATGGCCTCGACATGACCTGGTAAAATAAGTCCATGGAATCAAGGTGACTTGACTGGCTGAAAGCATACTCAGCATAAAGCAATATGTTTGGAGAGCTCAAGTGACAGCTCAGGGCAGTTTCCTAAATCCAATGCCTTCAATTGTTTCAATGACATTCCATCCATCCGAAGATGTAACAGGAGATGTTCACTGATGATTGCACCATTTTCAATTCCATTTGTAAGACTGCAGAAAATCAGCTTTCTGCAGACAGCAAAATGAAGACAACATTCACTTCGGCTGATAATATTTGCAGCAATCAAATCTCAGGCAGTGATGATTTCTAACAGGGAAGTCCAATCATCTTCCAGTGGCATTCAATTATCATTGTCAAATCTTACACCATCAACAACCAAAAGGTCATGATTAGCCTGAAGTTTAACTGGACTACCACATAAACCTGTGACAAGAAGCAAGTCAGAAGTTCTGTAATGTGTGGCAGGTAACTGATCTCCTGATATCCTAACACATTTCCATCATTTCAGACACAAAATCAACAATATGACGGAATACTGTCCACATGCCTAGCTGAGTTCAACTCCAACAACACTCAAGCGGCTTGAACACCAATTAGCCTGCTTGGTTGGCACCCTATCCATCAGCTTAACATTCATGTCCTCCACCAATGACATATAGCAGCTAATGACATGTAACATTTACATGATACACTGTAGCAATTCTTCTTCGACAGCACTTGTAAAGCCGCTACATTTAGAAGAACAAAGGCATCAAAGTGCTTGGGAACGCAAGTGCCCTCAAGTTCCTCTCGGAGTCTCAAGTCATCCTGATTTACAAATTTATCACCATTCAGTCATTGTCATTGGATCAATAATCTGGAATTCTAAACTGAACAGGACAGTATACCTACACCCCACAGACTGGAGTTGTTCAAGAAGCCAACTTTCCAGCACCTTGTCAAAAACAATTAGGGTCAAGTAAAAATATTGCCTGTGTCATAATATCTAAATATCATGTAAATAAAAAACTATGGGCTGAAGAAAGAATAGATAAAATATGAGAGAAGAAACTGCACAATTTGAAAGCAACATCGTAGGAGGTTTAAAATACTGTTACTATAGGTATCTCGAACAGGAAAATGATGCTCAATGTGGAACAAGCCATAAAAAGGAATCATTACATTAGGGTTAGGTTTTAAAAATGACTTTCTGACAAATGCACTTTCAGTTTTATAAAGTTGCTGATCAGTCACAAGTGAGTGAAATCCTATTGAGAGACTTGGCCATTATCAGACAACAGACCTAGGGATCTTCCCAGTTAGTCTCTCATTAGACAGCCCACAAATTCACTCAGCCACTGGTAAAGTCAAATACTGAAGCCCAGCATTAAAACTGCCGTAATGCTACTTTATAAAAATCAGCCTTGCTTCAAGAGTGGCAAAAACCCTCCTAACTGAATGAAGTGTCATAATTAAAAGATAAGCATGAAATTAACAGCCTTACATCATTGAAATGGGACAAAGCACTGCAAATTGCTAAATACTGCATTTTACTTGCTCATGAAAAAACCTGTTAATTTAAGGAGTTATTTTCAATGAAACTCTCTAATAAGGTATATGCACATAAAAGTTATAAAATAATGCTGCCTTAACGTAAATATTCAACGTTGACTGTGATTCAGCAGTACCAGCTTGTCACAAATTAAGTTCACAGAGCAAATTGGAGAACAAACAGCCAGAGGTCAACTTAGCTATTAATGTAAAAAAATCTATCAAGAATACTTTGGAAAAAAAAGTTGTTCAACTCCCATATGAAACAATAGTCAATAATTACACTTTAAATTTCAATGGGAGTGATAATAACCAAAAGTAGATCATACCCATTTTGTTATTCAGTTCCACGATTGTGCTTTCTAAAATATTCTCTTCATTGGATGTTTTCTGCATCAACTCCTGCATTGAATTCAAGAAAACAAAGGTCACCTCCATCTTTGGGTGTTTCAGGTTTCAGTATTATTTACATTATGGAACTCCTTGAAACAGAAAGCAAAATACCAGTATCCTTTTCAAATCAAACAGCAACGATCCAACCAGCACCCTCTTGAAAATAAATAAAACTGCTTATGTTGTTTCCAAATGTGAAAAATTAAAACTGATCATTCACATTTAGACCAATAGATGAGCTGAAGATAAACTAACAATGACTTGCAGTCAGTCTAACATCTTAAATGCATATTTTTAAGAGCTATACTGGATTATTAACAAATGTATTTGTAAAAATTTTGTCTGACCATTACAAGCAATTTCTTCCTGTCTAATCCAATGCTCACATTAAAGATTCCTCAAAGTCTCTCTACAAGGTGCATCTTTCGAGGGATTAAATTCTTTCACAGACTTAATTGTGATACGCAAACATAAAATGGCGGTGGGGGTGGGAGGAGACTTAGCACTAGCATAAAAACTCTCAGAACAATACAAACTGACACTGAGCCACAAAAGACTTTTGAATCTAAAATGAATCACTGAAGACCTGTTAAATTTCTTTCATCTTAAAGTTTTAATAAAGAATAAATAAAACTTTAGAAAGGACATAGAAAACATGAGCTTTCATTTCAAATCAATTTGGCTATTGTACAGAGCGATGGTTTCCTAAAATTACATTCAAAGCAGGAACTTCGAACTACAAAACTGATGCATAGAAAATAATTAGACGATATTGAGAAATTAAACAGATGTCACCTGCTTGCACCATGGTCTTCGATATTTTATAGTATACAAGTGGAAGATATCTTGGGATGTCAGAGAATACATGATATGCTCACTTCTAGTTCTCAGTGAAATAATAAAAAAAAATTCAACACACTTCCTGGAAGCTTAGCTTAAACACAGATTCACAGGAAATAAAAATACAAAAAATTTAAAACTATTTAGCCTGCAACACACCATTCTGGTCCCTTAGTTATACATTTTAGTCTCATTTAATAAATTTACAATTTTTAGTAAACGGTTACCTTCAATTTTTGAAGTTCCTCTTTAAACTTTGATAGCTCAGACTCTTTTTCATTCAGCTGGCACTTTAATTGTTCCTCTTTTGCTTCTGTTTCTTTTTCAGTTTTTTCATTCTGTTCTTGCTTTTCTGTCTTCATGTTCTCAAGCTTCTCTGTAACATTTTGAATCTGAACAAGCAGATCTTCATTTTCCTGAGTGATTTTTTCACTTAGGTTCTGCAACTCTAACAAATCCCTTTGCAATCCTTCCTTATCAAACAGTGCGTCATCTAGATTCTTCTGCAAAAGGGTTTTCTCTTTTTGAAGGTCATCTATTAAAGAACTGAACTCAGCTTGTTGATCTCTATTTGCATTAGATTGCAATTCCAATTGTTGATGCAATTGTAGTACACGCTCATCGCACAGTAACGTCACAGACTGCTTTTCCTCCCTGTATTTTGTCATTGATTCCTTCAGTAATTGCACTGCCTCAAGTATATCTAACTCAGGAGCATCATTTGTAAAACTGAAGATTTCCTGTTCAAGAATACTACTTATTGCAAGTCTAACATCACAAATCTTCTGTTTTTCAATTCCCTCTGCTAGTTGGAGACTGTCTCTTTCCTGAGTCAGAATTTGTAACTGTTTACTAAGATCTTGAAGTTTTTCTTCATTTGCTCCCAAATTTTCATTCTGTAAAGTGGCCATTGCCATTTCTTTTTGTAAAGCTTCCTTTTCTTTTTCTAATTTTGCAATAAAGCCTTCCAGATTTTTTGTTTGAGTGTCTAAGTGTTCTTTCTCAGTTATAATAGCTCCTAGTCTGTTTTCCATTTCACTTAGTTGTTGACAAGTAGACTCCTTCTCTGAAACTGCAGTTAGCAATTGATGTGCAATTTCATCCAATCTTTGCTTCAATTCACATTTGTCCTTATCAAGTACTTGTATTTGCTGCTCAAGTTCTGCACATTTACCTTCCTCCATCGCAAGAGATTGTTTCAGACTATGTATTGACCCTTCACAGTCATTCATTGCTGTGACCAGTTCCCCTTTCTCTCCGATTAGAGTGCCCACTTGTTCTTGTAAGTCATTTAAGTTTACCTCCTTTTTCTGCATTGATGACATCAATTCTTGATTCATCTCTTGTAAATTGCTGACAGTTTGCTTCAGTTCTTTTGCCTCCTCAACTTCAACCTGCAGCCTGTTGATGGTTTCCAGAAGAGAGTCTTTTTCATTAAAAACTTTTCGGAGTTTCTGCTGCAGGTCATGAATTTCATCAGATTGTTGTTGCTTCATAACTTCAAACTCATAACTGATCTTTGAAGCAGATTCTCCTAATTCAGTCTGTAACATTTCCATGGTTTTACGCAAGTTTTCATACTGACCCACTGTCTCTTCTTTCTCCTTCAATAATGTTTGGCATCGCACCTTCAGGTTATCTATTTCGAGAAGAGACTGCAATTTCTCTTTCTCAGCAGCGGCATTTAAAGTTTGCTCGAGTACTGAAATATCTTTTTTATTTTGTTCTGTCGTAACTTGCATTTCATAGGAATGCTGGGCCGCTGCCATTTCACAACGGTCATTAGCAGATTGAAGTTCATCTGTCAGCTTTGCAACCATATTCATATATTCTTCCTTGGATAACTGGAGTTCATTTATCTTAAATTCCCAGTCCTCTCGCTCATGGAAGAACTCCTCTCTTGTGTGATATAGTTCTAACTCTAGCTTTCCTTTTTCATTTTTCATATACAAAAGTTCATCATGTAACAAACTTCCTTGCAATTCCACCTTTTTCACATAGTTCTCAAGATGCTTCACCTGCTCATTTAATTCAGCAGTTACTTCATTAGGGATGTCTTTTGGGACTTTGGTTTGCTCTTCTGTCATTTTTCTTAACTCTTCCTTCAGTTCATTCAACTGACATTCATAGTTGGTCCTATTAGTGATCTGTTCATTCTCAAGACTCTTCTCTTTTATTGAAAGTTTTTCTGTTAAATCTTGTTCCAATTCCTGAAGTTCCTTCTCGTGTGTTTTAACTGAAGATTCCAACTGTTGCTTCAATGTTGTCACTTCCTCAAGATGGGAGATTTGCATAATTTCAAGCTCTTTCTGGAGGTCGTTCATTTTACTTTCCTTTTGTGCAACAGCATCCTTATGACTTTCTTGCAGCTTTCTAATTTCTTCCTTCTGCTTCTCAACACCAGCTTCTAACTGTTGTTTCAATTGTGATATGTGATCCTCATAGGCAATTTTAACAGCATTTAATTCTTCTCCCAATCTTTTTGCTTCAGTTTGCTGAACTGAGTAGATCTCAAGTTGCTGTTCAAGTTTTCCAATGTTGATACTGTGTTTCTGATTTGACGCTTGAAGTTCATTTTCCAACCTGGTTACTTCTTCTGTGTGTTTAGCTTGAACACCTTCCAATTCCACATTCAAAGCTTCAATTTTGCTTAAATATTGATTTTTTAATGACTTCATCTCCTCCTGGAATTCTATTTCTCTTGACAGTGTATCCTTAAAAGTAAACAAAAGATAGATTACATTTACAACATCATACACTTATGCTCTGCTCATCTCAAAATGAAGTTGCAAAACAGTTTACAAATATAGATTGCGAAAATCAGCAAGACTAAAGAAAAAGCCATTTTTAAAAAATATTACAGGGAAGCCACAATGATCCTCAGGGCTGGAGAATCTTAATAGATACAAGCTTCACTACATCAGTAGCAATTGTAAACTTCTGAATACAGTCAATCAGAAGCGTAAAAGTTTTGGTACTAAATACAAATAAAATGCAAAGTCTTTTTCCCTGAATGCAGAATAAATCTTCATGTTTCTGAATTTTTGAAGATGGGATGTATGCCCATAGATGTCTAGTCTGGATGCTGCAGAATATGTTTTTTTGAGCATCGTGGACTGGGCCAGCATTTATTGCCCTTGGCGTAGTTCCCTTGAGAAGGTAGTGGTGAGCTGCCTTTTTGAAATGCTACAGTCTATTTACTGTAGGTACACATCACAATACCATCAGGGAGGGAATTCCCAGATTTTGACCCAGCGACACAAATACATCACAGTTCCTGCAAAGTCAGAATGGTGATGGGCTTGGAGGGAAACTTGTAGGTGATGATGTTCCCATGTATCGGCTGCCTTTGTTTTCTAGATGGAAGTGGTCATAGTTTGGAAGGTGGTCTCTAAGGTTAATATCTGCAGTGCATCTTGTAGCTGATGGACACTAGCTGTTGAAGTTCAAACTTCCAACAGTTACATTTCCTGCAGCCCAGAACTCTCCACAACCTTGACAGGGTGGAGACTTAGATTAGATACAAGAGATTATCTGTCTACTTACCTTGGAAATGTTAGTTTAGTACCTGGTTGTACAACTAGACCATTTCACAACTGACCCATCTCCCCCAAGCCTAAGCACCCCATTATCACCCCACCTCCTGGCCTAACTGAACTAGCACCCTATAAAACATGCAACAGCCCCTCAACCGTCTGACTGTCCCCTAATCTGATTCATTATTTCGCCACCACCTAACTGTGTAATACTGATAGTTTGAAGCATAAAGTGACCAGTAAATGAAAGGTAGGGGAATTAAAGAATGGCGGGATAAGAGGATCAGGGGACACTGACAAGGCAAGGTTCCCTGTACTGTATGCTTGCAGTGATATTAAAAGAAGCAATTAAAATTTGGTGAAAAAAAACAGGTTATAGGGGAGGGGTGGGGAGGACCTTATGGTGCAGATATTGTTTTTGTTTTTAAAAAATTAAGACAGTCATTACCTTCAACTCTTCTTTACTTTTTTCTAGCTCCTTTCTAAGAGAAAGTGTACTTTGCTGAGCTTCTGCTTTTTCCAAAAGTACTGAATCCAGCCTGGTTGTCAGTTCCTGGTCAAAAAAGCAGAACAGTACAAATTACATCAAGGTGTCAAATTAATTTTAAAAGTGTTACAAAACTGTGATAAAAGATTTTGAATTATTTTTGTATTCATGTGAACGGAAGTAATTTCTTAATCCATATACAAAGTTTGTACATAGTTACGTTACACTTCCAAAAAATATCAGCATATAATCCAAAAACTGGCTGTATTTCAATTTCATTATTCAAATTTTCTTCTGTTCAAAATATCACAGCAATGCCCTCATCCCATGGACAAGTAAAAAATATATCTGAGTGTCATACAAATAGTGACATTAAACTCATCCAACTATGATAGTGGGACAAATCTTGGACACCAATGTACAACTGAAAATGGATGGCAAGACACTGCTAAAATCTTGATATGCGGACCTATGTGGAAGCTGTCTGGGAAATTCCCCAAGACCTTCTGCAAATGTCCCTGATGAGTCCTAAACTCTGGACAATTCTGCGTTACATAACTTGATTGTAATCCATCTAACATTTCCTGGGTGACTATCTAGCGTAATAGCTAGACAACCAAATAATTATCAACTTCCCCCACATTATTCCCAACACCTTGATTAATGCCCCCAACACAACTCATCATCCCTGACTATCCCTCAACCTGGCTAATCTCCAAATATCACCTTGACACGAATAATCTACCCCTGACATGCACAACTAGATCATTCTATAACTGACCCATCTTCCCCCAAGCTTAAGCACCCAATTATTACCCCACCTCCTGACCTAACTGAACTACCACCTCATAGAACATGCAACAGTCATCCAACCTGACTACCGCTCATTCCTAACCAACCTCAGACCAGCCAACTACCCCTTCTGACTATCCAAATACTACCTCACCAGACCACACCACACATTAGCTTAACTTTTTGTCTTCCTTCAAACAGGCATGACAATCTCACAGCTGGACCTCATGATCAGTACCCGCAACCAGACCTGACTATGCTTCCCAAACTGACTATCTACTTCATCTATTCACTAATATTCAAACTAGACTTTTGAACTTAGTATATAGCAAATGGTTCCATAAAAAAAAAGGGGGAATGTGCTGTGTCTTCTTCCCATCTCTGCTCTGGGGTTCTCCAAGTGATGCTGCTCTGTGCATTTCTTTGACAGCCAGGATCAGAAAATCCAGAAACAAAATGCGCAGCAGTTTTGACTCAGAATTTTTTGTTTTATTTTTAAAGCATCTAAAAATCATGATATAGAACATAGACAAATTTCCTCCCACGATATGATTAACTATTATTTCTCTTATGATCTATATATATTTTAAAGTTCTTTCACTCAGTCTGTAGTAATCACAGGATATTACTCCTATTCATGCTCTTCTGGGCTTGAGGAAAACACAGCATAATGAGAAAAAGCCTGAACAGAAAAACTCAAGTAAAGATTGCAAATGAGTAAATACACATCATGATGTGACATTAAGTTAAAGTGAAGAAAGATCTCAGTCAGTCAAACATTTATTTCCGCTATCAAATGGTGAAGACAAGTGATTTGGTGCAGTCCATTATTTCACAACAAATTACATAAGCATCTACTCATTGCAAGCAAAATAATTTCCTATTCAAGTATTGGAGATTTTCATGAAAAATCTCAAAGAAAACAAAAAAAAAGTGGGCTTTGGATGAATCTATGAACCTAACTAAGTACTCCGTCTACAAGTGACTGTCCCTCATCCTAATTAAAATTATATTATTCTGTTTGTGTTCAGGAACCCAAGAAACTATTTGCACAATTGTGCACTCACTCCTTCTGTTATGCTAGTTTTCGTCAAGCAAAGTGATTAAGCACAGACATGTTAACTGTAAAAGTGTTATAAAAATTACAAATGATTAAAACCTGCTTCATGGCTATTACCTGGATGACTGCATCATTAGCATCAACAGCTGGTTTTGTTCTGAGCTGTTCAATTTCATTTTCCAGAGCTGAAATGACATTATATGTATAGAAACACCTTTAAAAAAACAAACTGCTTGATTAAATCTAAGCAAATTTGATAACTAGGATACATAATAGTGAAATATAATTTTAATCTTTACATAATTTAGGAAATAAATAGCATATAATTGAGTTGGAGTACTACAATGTGTCAGGTCAGGTTGTTTTTATAGATTTTAGAACATCTATGATTCAGTCAGATATTGTCAATGCATGCTACAACTAGTTAGTCACAGTAACTTATATTTATATTCAGTTTTTAATGCAGTAAAATGTCCCAAAGTGCTTCAGAATAGTTATTAGAATAAAATGCACATAGTTACAAAGAATGAGATATTAGGAGGGTTAACCAAAAGTATGATTAAACATAGGGTTCTATGCAAAGCCTTAAAGGAAATTGGTTCATTGATTCTATTTCTATGAAGTGCCTTGGGGGGTTAAATATTAATGATTCTTTATAAATGCAAGTGATTACTGCAGCTCAGTTTGAAAAATTGATATCCATGAACTACTTCTTTAACTTCCTGTCTTAACAGTAGAGTCATAGAACATGTTTGAGAATTGGGTAGCCAGTTTTCTAATGGAAGTGTGAGACACCAATGTATGGATACTACTCTCAGCAAACTAAACTTAAGAATCAGGTTTTCAAGAGTGCAGCACTGATTACTGCAACAAGGTGATGTTTAATGAACTTTTGGGTAGGCGGATTAGAGTGCCCTAATCATTACAACTTTAGCATTTTACCAGACAGTTTACAATATAGACTTATTGAACTTATTACTGCAGCCACTATGTCAAATGAAGAAGAGTTAGAAGGATATGAGGTGCGACACCAAAGCTACGTGATCAATTCCTTATTTACAATTAAACTATACAATGAAAAGGAATAAGAGTAGGAAAAAAAAATGACAATTTTCAGCTTCCTCATGCAGTCATGATCAGCAGACCCTATTATGTATTACACGGGATCAGCAATCATTTCTTAAGAAAATACAGAAGACAACACAAATAATTACTCAGGGCAATACCATGGCAGACTGTGGCAGGGATTAACTGTCTCCATCGCCCTTTGCTCAGTGAAAAAGGTGCAATGTATAGACATATTCCATTTGCCTTCAAAGAACATCATATATGTAGTTTTTAGTGTATGCAAATGAATCACATTGTCATCCTACTGATAACTTAAAATTGCTTTCCACCGTAATTCATAGCATAATCAGGAATACACAGTAAAACATTTAATGACTAAGAAGCTTGATTTTTGTGTCAAAAAAAACTGATTGGATTTTTCTATGGCCAGATAGACACTATTGCAGTGTAGATGGGAGTTGCACATAGTGCCCTGTGGCAGACTCCGAAGGTATTGCCTGGGAAACTGAAGATTCTGCCGGGCAATTGAGGAAGTCTCCAAAAGTCTCTATTTAGAAATTAGAATTCAAAGAGATCTGATGATATAAAGTAAATTATAATTAGGAAAGTTTAGACTATTTAGCGTAAATCCCAAGTAATTATTTAACTGAAAAAAAAAACCCAAAAGAACTGTGGATGCTGTAAATCAGGAACAAGGACAGAAGTTGCTGGAAAAGCTCACAGGTCTGGCAGCATCTGAGGACGAAAAAAAAAAAATCAGAGTTAACGTTTCAGGTCCAGTGACCCTTCTTCAGAACATTCTGAGAAAGGGTCACTGGACCCGAAACATTAACTCTGATTCTTTTTTTTTCTCCACAGATGCTGCCAGATCTGCTGAGCTTTTCCAGCAACTGCTGTTTTTCTTCCTAATTATTTAACTGACCCCTTACTAATCCTTCCCAGATCCTGATCTATTTCTCCCTCTCTCCCCCAGGGAGCCAACACAGCTGCCTCACCTGAGACCCAATCTGATCCCCACCTTCTCCCACTCCGCACCTACCACACCTTTCCGTCTCTCATGCCATTGGCTTGTACTCATTGGAATGTAAAAGAATGAGAAGCAACTTTATTGAAACATAGAAGATTCTTAGAGATCTTGACAGGATAGATGCAGAAAGATTGTTTTTCCTTGTGGGAGAGACCAGGACGAGAGGACATAATCGCAAGAGAGACGATCATACATTTAAATCAGAGATATGGAGGAATTTCTTCTCTCAGAGCATTGTAAATCTGTGGAATTCCTTACCACAGAGGGCTGTTAAGGCTGGATCATTAGGTATGTTCAAGGCTGAAATAAATAGATTTTTAATCAGTAAGGCAATCAAGATTATAGGGAAAAAGGCAGGGAAGTGGAGTTAAGGATTATCAGATCAGCCATGAGTGCACTGAATGGCAGAGCAGACTGGAAAGACTGAATAGTCTATTTCTGCTCCTATGACTTATGGTCTAAATCTGGCCCATTATAATTATTTTTAAAAAAAGGAGGTGCTGACAATGAATTCTGTTCAAAAATCTATTCGTCATATACATTACCGGTGCATTTTGACTTTGTCTTCTGCAAAAGCATAACCTGTTTCTTCGCAAATTTTATAAGCTCTTCCTTTGGTAAGGTGTCCAGCTGTAAACACAGTTAAATAAAGGAGTATGGATTCAACATATTCCATTGTTAATTTAGAAGAGATTAAGATTTAGGTGCTCTTTAAACATAAACTGAAAAAACTGGCATACATTGTTATGAATGTGAGCATGCATAAAATAGTTGTGTTTCAGACTGTCTTTTTAAATTTCAAGGAAAAATGCCAGAAAGGGATGTGTGACCTGTTGTTATTTCTGCCCAGTGATAAAGCGATGTGACCTGATTAACTTGGGGATGGTGCCAGGTCAAACATTGTTGAAAATCATATACCAAGTTTAACACCTGCAAACAAAAGGATGGCTGATCTGGCTTTGCCATGGATAGGCATGCAAATTCTGAGGCAGCTGTTCTTGTTTTATGCAGACTTACCGATTCACAGGAAGTCTGAAAACAAAAACTATTGACAGACAGGGAAACTGCTGCAAAAAATGCTGTTCTATGCTAGTTACCAGACAAAATGCTAGCAGAAACCTGTCTCCTTTGTGAAGAAGAGGAACCTGCAGAGCTTTAACATCCTTGAAAATTTACCACGATGAATTCAGGAGAAGCAATCATGTGAACAAACTTTGCTGCTCGAAGTTGGTTCAAAAATTCTCAGAACATCGAAGAACTGGATGTTTGATGGTCACCAGATATTACAACTTAAGAACTAGGGAGACAGTTTGGTCCGTTTTCTTTAAGGAGTGGAACTCTATGGAGTGTATGTTACATTTGATACATAACTGATATAAGTTTATCTGTCATGTTAAGACTCTACAAGAGGTTCTCTATTGCTTAGGATATTAACTGCCTACTATGTAATGTGTAATTAATGATTTAGTTTGCTTGTTATAGTACAAGTCTTAAAATTTGAAATCTTACGCAATTCTTTTAAATAGTTAACCAAGAATTTAAATCTTTTGTTTGATAAAAGTTATCAGTCTCTATAGGAATCACAAGTTAACATTTAAGATTTGTTTTCTTGCAAACCTTAGATTTTCCTGTTCCAGGAGCTGCTGGTGAAGGCATGCCATCCTGACCACTCTCCTGTTAAACAGAAACAAACAGAAGTTTTACAATTTTGAAGTTATTTGCACTGCTTACACCTAGTATTAATACACAAAATGACCATGGCAATATCAATACTACAATGCACACATTATCTTGCATCTGTAAGAAATAATTAGGAAATGCTGTAACTAGTTGAACTTCACATAAAAACCACTTTTTTTAAAATTAACCCCATAATGTAAATTTCTGCCAATAAAAACGTCATTCAGAAATAGTTACAGAATCTAATTTCTGTCCAGTGATCAGAGTTCCTATCTATGTACTGTGCCTCACCAAGAATACGTATTACAACAAAATAACAATACGTCCTACAACAAGTGAAGGACACTTAGAGTGCACAATATCAACACAATGTTAACTTAACGTTATTATAATTATGCAGTTTTTCTTTGAAGCTTTTCCTTGTTTTGTTGATGCTCTGTAACTATAAAGCTGGAAACAAATCATTTAAGCATTTCCATTTCACTGAGGTAATTCCAGGTCAATTCACATTCAAACAACCTGCTCTGAAAATTTTGCTCACACTTTGATAGCTGTAAAATTCCATAACAGAGACAATCCACAATATTCTGAAACATTTAACACTCTAATTTGATTAACCTGCTTCATTCTAAAAAAAATCAATTCACCCTATCTTCCAATGTTAAGAAATTCTTAAAAAATTTCCAAGATCCAGATCCAAACCTTCATCAAGATCTAAATAGTTCTTCCTTAGGTCATCTATGTGCCAGGTTTTGTTGAAATCCATCCATTAGATTTCTTTAGATATATTGCTAAAAGGTACATGGCAAAAAATTTACTTCCAGCCATCTTCATTGATACAGGTTCAACCACCAGTCTGGTTCATAGATGGAAGTTTGATGAGTACACTAACATTCCTCTCATTGGAAATTAAGTACTATGCAAATCGATGTATTCATGGGTCAGGAGTTCACAGTTGAGTAATATATATTTCTATATCACTTTTAAAATAGTGAGATGTCTGAAAACATGTCCTCCACGTTAGATGACTGAACTACCCTATGTGGACTTCGGATCCCTGAAATCTTGGTTTAAATGTTAATTTTGGTAAAGAGAGAATGTGCACATAATTATTTTGCAAACTGAATTTCTACTCTTGGATTTTTCAATGATTTATTCAGAAATTCCTAAAAATGGTTATGAGTTTCTGTGTGTATCAGACACCTGAATAACAATAAATAAAACTCCTCCATTTAAGAAGAGGCTCCATTTGCAATATATCCATTCTACTGCACAACATATGTTTGAAATTCATTAAGAATAATGGCAAAGGTACTGGTAGTTTTGTCCTGTTGTGAGATCCAAAAACCTTAGGAAAGCAGCTCAAAGAAGCTTTCTGATACCTTCTACTGCTGATAATCTAAACAAATTTAGATAGTTCAATTCAGCCAAAATGAATTTAAATAACATCTATTGCCTTCAGTACTGTTTTTGATTCAGTTTATTAAAGAGGCCAAACATCTCAAGGTTATAAAATGCCTTTATAAACTCTTGCAAGGATTCAAGTACAACTAACTGTGGTTTCATCTGACAGAAACAAAATCTAATTATTGCCTATACGACGTCATTAGATTAGTTAGGCAGCTCCAAAATGTACCTTGGCTTTAGGTACAAGTAAGTGCTGTTCTGCCCAGAACGTAACATAATGCAGCCGTTGAAAGATATGCTTAATTTTATAATGGAACCTATCTTAACAGATCTTTTAGATTAGAGCAGAAGTTAATAATTTAAAAGGTTTATATGAAGATATTACAGCAATTGTTTAACATATCTTTTATATTGTGTAAAAACTTCCAATTTTTGTCAACTTATCCAAAACAATAAATGACTGACTTTTCCCTGACTGACACTACCATAACTCAGTTTATTCACTTGTAAGTACTGTAGTATAAAATTCCATGCTGCATGGCAGCTCATTTAGTTACGTACATTCACCTCTATTATCCCATTTTACGAGATGTTGTTCACTCTAAATAGCTTTGACGTACTTGCAGATTCAATAAATCTTCATTCCCTGCTCCGTGAGACAAAATATTGAAGGTGGTAGAAAAGAATCTGTTGATTATCAGAACAATCCATCTTGTACACTAACGTACAGGGAAGGAAATCTACCAATCTTACCTGTTCTGACCTCTATATGACTTCAGAGCCACAGCAATGTGGTTGACTCTCAATTGCTCTTTGAAGTGACCAGCAAGCCACTCAGTTATATTAATCACTAGAGTCTCAAAGAAGAAATGAAACTGGTCGGACTACCGACCTAGGCACCGGAAACAACAATAGCAGAAACAACTTTGTTGGTACTGTGAAGTCTTCCTTACTAACCTCTGGTGACTAATGCCAAAATCAAAAGAGTGGACCTATAGACTGGTCAAACAACAACCTAAGCCAGTCATCTCCACAGAATCGTACAATATCTCAGACACCATCACCATCCCTGGACACGCCCTGCTTACAGACCGGATAGGTTCAGCAGAGGTTGCAGCACTAAGCTATACTGTTGAGAAGAGTTGCTCTAGGAGTCCTTGGCACTGACTCCCGACCCCCATGAAGTCTCACGGCATCAGGTCAAAAATGGTCAAGGACACCTCTTGCTGACTACCACATTCCAACCTCCCTTGGCTGATGACTCTTGTGCTCATCCATGTTAAGGAACACTTAGAGAAAGCACGGAGGGTGGCACAGTCAGAGATTGCACACGAGCGGGGAAGAATTGGCTCAGCAACAGCACTACTAATTGAGCTGGTGAAGTTCTAAAGGACATTGCTGCTAGACTGTGTCTGGAAATCAAGAGGGAAAATCATACTTGGCCACACCCTCATCAATCTGCCTGCTGCGGATGCAACTGTTCTTTAACAGTGACCACAGCACAGTCCTTCTCTTCGAATTGATAGTAACAAGTCCCACCTTCAAATAGTACCTCACCTGGTGTGTGGTACTAAAAGGGATAGACTTCGAACAGATCCAGCAACTCAAGATTGGCATCTATGAGCCACTGTAGACCGTCAGTAGCTGCAGAATTGTACTCCAACACAATCTGCAACCTCATGGCTCAAAATATCCCCCACTCTATCATTATGATCAAATCAGGTAATCAGCTCCGGTTCAATGGAGAGTGCAGGAGCGCTTGCCAAGAGCAGCAACAGAAATACCTAAAAATGAGGTGTCAACTTGGTGAAACTACAAAACAGGACTACTTGCGTGCCAACAGCATAAACAGCAAATGGTTCACAGTGCTAAGTGATCTCACAACCAATGGGTCAGATCTAAGCTCTGCAGTCGTGCCATAACAAGTCATGAATACGGGCGGACAATCAAACAACTCACTGGAGAGGGCGGCTCATATCACATCAAGGCATTTAAAAAAATGCTGAAGCATTCTGAACAATCTTCAACCAAAAATGCTGACTTTCTCTAGCGATCTTGAGCATCGCAGGTGTCAGTCTTCAGACAGTTGGACTCTCTGTGATATCAAGAAACTGCTGGAAGCATTGGATACTGGAAAGGTTACCGCATCCCAGCAACAATACTGAAGATTTGTGCTCCAGAACTTGCAGCATCCATAGCCAAGCTGTTCCAGTATAGGTGTAACATTGGCAACTAATCAACAATGTGGAAAATTGCCCAGGTATGTCCTGTACATAAAAAGCAGGTAAAATTCAACCCAGCCAATTACTACCCCATGAGTCTACTCTCGATCATCAGTAATGTGGTAGAAGGCATTATCAACAGTGCTACCATGAAGTGCTTTTTCAGCAAACAGCTGCTCACTGATAAAAACCGAAAGAACCGCGGATGCTGTAAATCAGGAACAAAAACAAAGTTGCTGGAAAAGCCCAGCAGGTCTGGCAGCATCTGTGAAGGAAAAAAACAAGAGTTAACGGTTCGGTCGGTGACCCAAACATTATACCTGCTCACTGATGCCCACACTCAGCTCCTGACTTCATTACAGCTTTGGTTCAAACATGAATAAAAGAGTGGAATTCTAGAGGTGGGGTGACAGTCAGGTCTTAATATCAAGGCTGTTTTTGACCAATGTGGCAGCAAGGAGCCTTAGCAATTGGGCAGGTTCTCTGCTGGTCAGAGTCATACCTGGCACAAAAAAAAGGTCATGGCTGTCAGAGGTCAGTCATCTCAGCCTTAGGATGTCTCTGCAGGAGTTCCTCAGCCCAACCATCTTCAGCTGCTTCATCAATAACCTTCCCTCCATCATAAGGTCAGAAGTGGGAATGGTTGCTGATGATTTTGCAATGTTCAGCATCATTAATGACTTCTCAGATACTAAAGCAGTCTGTATCCAAATGCAAGAAAACTTAGACCATATCTAGACTTGGACTGAAAAGTGGCAAGTAACATTCATGCCACAAATGCCAGGCAATGACCATTCCAATAAGAGACAATCTAACCACCATTCCTTGACATTCAACAGAGTTATGATGATTGAATCCCTGGTTATCAATATCCTGCAAGTTATCATTGTGAGTGCAGGGAGCTACATCAACTAGTGGTCGGGTTCCAGAAACAAATGAGACTGGGACTTGTTATGTGCAGATAAAACTGACACAAAGGCAATGTACTGAGGCTTTTATCGATCATTCAATGATGTAAAACTCTTAGATTTATCAACACTCTAGGTTCCATATCATTTTAGCGATAACAGTGGCTGAATACAAGCTTTCAGTAATGGTTTGCAATAAGTGTCAGTTCTCACATTGGCCTATGTCAATAGGCTTGTGGTAGAATCATCCTGCATCAAATCCTGGCTACTTAACAATGCCAATGACACAGCACTGATGATGCAGGCATCAATATCAGAGGAAGCTTGTAGAACACTTATTAGCAACCTGGACCTATTGGAATGTCACTTCCAGAATGCTGCCTTCACTTCAATCCAGATAGGACAGCTGTGTCAGCATCCCATATGAACCATACTACCACTGAGAAATAATATCAACTGTTTCAGTTGGAAGCAATCTGATGTCACCCTCATTAGGATCTTACCTATCGTCCTCAGCTCATGAATGCTGGCCAAAAAGTTTAAAAATGTGCGAACCCAAGAATAGGAATAACAGTCGATTCTTTCCTAAGGAAATGTCAAACGAGTGGCTACATTGAAGTGCACACTATTATGTAGGCAAAGGTAATTAGCTATGGTGCTGTGGGTCTCTCTGAACACAAGGCATCATGTAAATGTAAGTTGCTTTTTATTCTACAACGTAAATGGCAAATTATAGATCAGATCACAGTAAGCACCAATAATAATGTGAAATATTACCAGTAGTACAAGATTTATACTACAGGATCACCAAAGTTCCAGAGCTGTGGAAATCATTGTTTATATTTCAGAAACACGTTCAACAATGCAAAATAAATGCTTATATGTAACGTCTTAGATGCAGTGTTTTCTGAATGGCCTAGGAAATATGAATTGAACAGGAAGTGAAAGACAGTCTGAACTGTAGACGTGTATCCCATGGATAATTTCACCTTCTGGTTTGGTTTGTTTTCGGAGGTACAACTATCTTGACAAATACCAGCAGAAACCACCTCGGATGCTACAAAAGACAGTGACACCATCCTATTTATTACAGTATTCGATTACTGATCCCAAATGACATATCTGGTAGCGTGCATCGACCAGGATTCGCTTGGCAAATATCCGGCTTAGTGCCGGTGCAGTGAATAAATAAAAATAAATATCTACTAGCAGTTACTTTGAAATGTCTGTTACTCTGCAGTTTTGGCAACTAGACTTAAATGTCGATGATAAAGTAGCTCCTGTGGGAGGTTTTGCCGCAGACCGGCAAATCATTGGATTAGTTTCTCAGTTTCTCCTCACCCATAGCCCTCACTGGGTCATCATTTATGGAAGAATTGAATGATTGATTTTCCACCGCTCTCGATTACTGTCACCCCAAAACCATCGACACTGGCTAACTCCTCGCTTCCCCTCACCTCCATGCTCGCGGTGCTCCAACCTTCTCCTCCTCCTCCTCACCGTAAACAAATAAACTGCGTTAAAGCAAGCCTAGGAGCGAAAGCCACCTCCGGCCCACCCCCGCCCGCTCTCGCGACCACCCTCTTCCGGCTGACGTGCACAGCCGGAAGTGAGAGTTCCCATGGTAACGAGGCCTGTTCTCTGTGCGTGGGGATGGAGGGGTAGGAGCGATCGAACAACACCTTATTACGCGGCACGAATGACATGGTGGCGTTGTCATCCCGTGTTCACAGTCTCCGACAGAGGGGGCTCAATGAACTGATCCCTCCTGGACACGCTCGCATTGCAAGGTTCACGCACAACCGCACATGATGCTGAACTCGTATAGCTCATCGTCAGTTACTGTCTAACCTCTGGCGTGGGTTTTGTTTTAAATCAACCTGTTCAGAAATGTTATTACACAGCCCGGAACAGGTAGGACTTGAACCCAGGCCTTCTAACTGGACAGTTTCAGGCCATGGCGTATAGTATTGATATTCCACTTTTCGAGCAGGAGAATTTCTATTTTTTTTCCTGTGTAGCCTAATCATGGTTGATACATAGAGATATACAGCGCAAAAATACACACTTTGGTTCAACTCGTCCACGCCAACCAGACAACCTAAACTGATCTAGTTCCATTCGCCAGCATTTGGCCCATATCCCTTTAAACCTTTCCTATTCATATACCCATCCGATGCCTTTTAAATGTTGTACCCACCGCCTCTGACAGCTCATTCCATTACCACGCACCAACTGCGCGTGAAAAAGTGCCTCAAGTCCCTTTAAATCTTTCCCCTCACACCTTAAACCTATGCCCTTTAATTTTGGACTCTCCTATCCTGGGATAAAGACCTTAAGTCGAATTGAAATTTATTATTGCTGGAAAAAAGGCACATTTTGTCAAAACTTTTCGTCCTGCCCTTATCAGGACAATTTGCAAGAATACCAATTCTAGGGCAAAACCAACATTATACTTCATGAGAGGACAGTACTGATTGGTTAGCAAAGTGACTCTGATTGATAGAGGCATTACCATGAAGTTGTGCCCATAAAGTTGATTTGACAGTTAACTGCCAGATTTTGTTAAGCCAAAAAGGTTAACTCTGATAGCCCTCAGAAATGGATCAGGTTAATTCATAAGACCCTACAGTGTTGGAGGTAGTATATTGGCATGGGTAGAGAATTAGCTCTTGGACAGGAAACAGTGAGTGGGGATAAGTGGTTACTTTTTGGCAACTCGTGACCAGTGCAGTTTCACAGGGATCAGGGCTGGGACTGCAACTGTTCACAATATATATTAATGATTTGGAGGAACGAAATTAATGTACTGCAGCGAATTTTGTAGACGATAAAAAAAGGTGATAATACAAGCGGTGAGAGGGATACGAACAAGTTATAGAGTTATTGATAGATTAAATAAATGAGCAAAAAGTTGCCAAATGTGGGAAAATGTGAAATTGTTCATTTTGGAAGGGAGAACAAAAGAACAGAATAGTATTTAAGCAGAGAAAGCTATAACAGAGGATATTTGGAGGTAATTGTGCATGAAACACAGAAAGCTAGCATACAGGTATAGTGGGTAATCAGGAAGGCTAATGTAATGTTGGCCATTTCAAGGGGATTGGAATATTAAAATGGGAAAGTCTTACAGCAACTGTACAAGGTGCTGGTGAGACCACATCTGGAGTATTACAAGCAGTTTTGGTTCCCTTATTTAAGGAAAGCTATGATTTCAGTGGAGGCACTCAGAGCAGGTTCACTAAGATGATCCCTGATATGGAGGGATTGTCTCATGAGCAAAGGCTAAACAAATTGGAACTCAATTCATTGTAGTTTAGAGGAATGAGAGGTGATCTCATTGAAGCAGAGGATTCTTAAGGGGCTTGGTAAATTCTGAGAGGATGTTTCTCATTATTGGAGAGTCTAGGGCTAGATGGCATAGTCTCATAGTAACGGGGCACCAATTTAAGACTGAGATGAGTAAGAATTTCTTCTTTCTGCTAAGAACATGTGTCGGCTGATCAGTTCCTTGAACCTGCTCTGCCATTGAAAGGATCACGGCTGACCTGATATTTGTCATGTCCACGTTCCTGTCCTTTCCCCACCCGTTGATTCCCATATTGATCAAGGATCTATCAATTGCTGCCTTATATGTACAAAAGGACTCTTCTGCACAGCTCTCTGTGGCATGGAGTTCCAAAGAAACTTGTCTTAGAAATGGCAGTTACTTATTTTATTGAGTGTAGTGCATTCACATGTTCTTTCTGCTTGCAAAGAATAGGGACCTGTAGTTCCAGCACAAGCAAGTGTGTCACACTGTGAGCCTGACCAACAATCCTAAGTTGATTGTCAACATAATTCTTTGCACACTTGAGATTATTCAACAGTTATTGTGCAACTTGGCAGAACTGGCAGAACTTGCCTAATAGCATGTCATAAGTCTCCCTTCCATAGGTATGCCACATAAAACATGTACAGTTAAGAAGACATGCAGATTTATGAGAAACTTTGCACCATCCAAAAACAAGTGACTATTTTGACCCAGTATGAACATCCTGTACGTGGACTTCAGAAATGAACAAGTATGTTATGTAAGGGGCGGATACTTGTCAACCACCAAAGCAGAATAAAGTTTGCAAAGTTGTGTATTTGTAAATAGAACACGTTGGTCCTATTTCACGTGTCAAGCTAATTCAGAGGTTTATGTAAATTTAATTTAATTCAAGACTCCTCAGATACTAAAGCAATCCATAAGCAAATGCACCATGACCTGGAAAATATTTCAGGCTTGGTTTGAAAAGTGGCAAATAACATTCATGCCACACAAATGCCAGGCAATGACCATGTCCAGTAAGAGACGATGTAACCATCACCCCTTGACATTCAATGGTGTTACCATCACTGAATCCTCCACTATCAAAATCCTGGGGGTTACCATTGGCCATAAATAAAACTGCATGAGACATATAAATACATTGGCTACAAAAGCAAGTCAGAGGCTAGGAATCCTGCACTGAGTAATTTACCGCCTGACTCCCAAAGCCTGAACACCATCTACACAGCGCAAGTCAGGAGTGTGATGGAAAACTCCCTACTTACCTGGATGAGTGCAGCTCCAACAACATGAGAAGCTTGACCACATCCAGGACAAAGCAGCCCGCTTGATTGTCACCACAACCACAAATGTCCACTCCTTCCACCACTGACGGTCAGCAGTGCCAGTGTGTGCTATGTACAAGATGCACTGCAGAAATTCACCAAAGATCCTTGGATAAAACTGTCCAAACCCATGACCGCTACCATCTAAAAGGACAAGGTCAATAGATACATTGGAAAACCACCATTTGCAAGTTCCCCTCCAAGTCACTCACCATCCTCACTTGGTTGCTTCAGTTGTTGCTGGGTCAAAAATCCAGGAATTCCCTCTCTAATAGCATTGTTGGTCTATCTACAACACATGCATGACAACTGTTCAAGAAAGCAGCTTGCCACCACTTTCTTAAGGCCAACTAGGGATGGGCCATAAATGCTGGCCAAGCCAACATACCCACATCCCGTGAGTGAATAATTTAAAAGAAAAATTGGCTTTCAATTTTCCCTGTATTTAGACAGAAACAAACATAAGAGATCACAGGCTTCCCACTCAGAGATGTGATGTCACAATCATAGAATCCCTACAGTGTGGAAACTGGCCCTTTGGCCCAACAAGTCCACATTGATCCTTGGAGCATCCCACCCAGACGCATCCTCCTGTAACCCACCTAATCTACACATCCCTGAACACTACGGGAAATTTAGCATAGCCAATCCACCTAGCCTGTATATCTTTGGACTGTGAGAGGAAACCGCAGCAAACCCATGGAGAATGTGCAAACTCCACACAGACAGTTGCCCAAGGCTGGAATTGAACCCAGGTCCCTGGTGCTGTGAGGCTGCAGTGCTAACCACTGAGCCGCCCTCTCCTGTAAAATCTACACAAAGTCATGGAAAATGCTATTCACACAACTCTACTACCAGTACCATTCAGAATTCCAAGTGCAACTAAATCTCTGTTAAATTATTGGAATGCAGAAAATAGAAAGGAACTTACTACAAGAATATTTCTGACACTTTACTGTATTCTGAGGTGGCAAAAGAGCCCACACCCCTTCCACATTGTGTAAATTGAATAATACTACAATTAAGTAGCTTTTGCTTGAGCGTTTTCTTGCTTGATTGATGTTCAAATGATTTGGATGCGATATTACTAATTGTAATATTTCTGACTTGCAGATGAGGCAAAAGTAAGTGAGAATATGTTGTGAGGAAGCTGTAAAGCGGGTTCAGGAGGATCTGGACAGAGGAAAGGAACATAGTGGATGGAATATAATGTTGAAAAAGTGAGGTTATCTACTTTGGTAGGAGAAACAGAATTGTAGAGTATTTCTTAAATGGTGAAAGGTTGGGTGGAATCTGTAGATATACAAGAAAAAAATGTCTTTGTTAATAAGTGACTGAAATATATCATGCAGGCACAGCAAGGTAATTGGAAGGTGAATGGGATGTTACCCGTTGTTACAGGAGGATTTGCATACCCAAGTAATGAAGTCTTGATTCAATTGTATAGAAGGTTAGTGGGACCACACATGGAATACTGTGTGCAGTTAGGTCTCCTTATCTCAAGAAAAGTATTATTGGCATAGAGAGAGTGCAACATAGGTTCACCAGATTTCTTTCTACGATTTTGGGATTTGAACAATGAGAGGTCATCTCATTGAAATCTACAAAGTACTTAAGAGGCTGAACAGGGTCAATGCAAGTAAAACAGTTCCTCGGTTGGGGAGTCTGAAAATAAAGGAACTGCCGTTCCAGACCAAGATGAAGATAAATGTTTTCACTCAGAGGCTTGTGAATCTTGAAAGCTATGCACCCAAGAGGATTTGTAGAAGCTCAGTCTTTCAGTTTATTTAAAGTACAGACTGGTAGATTTATGATTACTAATGGTGTCAAGGGTTATGGGGATGATGTGGGAAAAAGGCATTGACATGTTTGATCAGTGATAACCATTTTAAATGGTGGAGCAGGCTGACTGGCCTGCTCCTGTTCATATCCATATGCTGCTTTAAATATTCCATATTCTTTGAAACTCTATAAATCTCATTCCTCATAGCAGATAGCTCCTGGAAGAGTTGAGGCCAGAAAAAATCTCTGCTGCTTCACACCCCCATTCTGAACAGCAGCCTTTGGACCCTACAGAGAATCCCTGAGATGTCCATCCCATGATGGACAGTATAGTGATTATAATGAGGTTAGCCAGGTGGACCCATTGAATGTGAGTTCCCTGACTGGGGCTGCTAATCAGGTCCAATCAGGGAGGTATGGCTAACAGATATAAACAGGCGTGTCAGGCATCCTGTTCACTCTGAGACCTGGCTCTTGAGGAAGCTGGAACA